TATCTAGAAACCCGGCTGAATGAAAGATATACCTACGTTTCGTAATTCCAACACCAATCCTATCGCCAAATGTTCCCTTGACAGCTCTTCAATTTGGGTCAACGAAGGATTACCGAGATCTGGCTTGAAGTAGGGCAAAAAATTCGCTACACATACTTCAGCAGCACTATTGTTTCTTTGAGGTTCTCTTCACTGGTCACAAGGAAGCTATGTGAAATGAAGGCATCATCGGTGACAGACGATGGAGAGCTGGTGGAAGAACTATTCGACGTCTCCACCGCGAATGTACGAAGCAGAAGCCCCTTCGAGATTTCAAGAAGGATGTACGAAGAACAGGACGCCAGGATAAGGGAGAATACAACAAGGCTGATAGAACTGAGTGAAAATGTCGCGTCGATGAAGGAGATGATGCTGCAAATGTAAGGCGGTTATGAACGTCTGAAAATCATTGACGCTAGTATTTTAGGACTTCCATGATCGTATCAATAGTCCAGAAGCAGGATAAACTAGAGAAAATGATGATGGAATCCCTAAGGAGGAATTCGGCGAAAAAGGACCATGGCAGGACTTGCAGAAATATTCGATCATGGAACATTACATTTGTTCCCATTCCTCTCTATCATTTATCTTTTCAGTTGATATCGACTACACTTACGCCAGTTCCAAACACGTCGCAGAATTGCGGCAACTCAAAGGCTTGAATCAAAATGCCTTTCGGTTTGGCCCTCGAAGCGGAAGTGTACCGGGACGATGTGGCAGAGCTAGAAGTGCCTGTGGATCAGCGAGTTCGTTCGAGTGATCGGGTCATCTTCATACAACGGGTGAGCCTTTTGAACAGCTACCTTACAGAAAAATATACCATATACTTCCAGTGCCTGTTCAAATATTATGACGTGCCTGAACATCTCCAAGGCAATGCGTGGAAGAGAGTGAAGGAAGCGCTGAACAGCAGGGTGAGGCGCGTCAAAGCGAAATCAGGAGACGGGAGAGCAGCTGGCAGCTCAAGAGGGTCTCGTGACGACGAGATCCTAAGTAACTTGGACCTTTTCAGCGTTTGATGTATTTTATTTATTTTTT